TTCCAGAGCAAGAATGGGAAGGGACACTACGAGCTTTGGGGTGAGATGGTGGATCTGTTGGTGGAGCACGCCGTCGACATTGAAACGGGACACGAAACAGGCATTGACGTGGAACGGATCATTCGGAGCGGAATCGAACGGTTCGCGGACCAGCGAGGGAAACTGTGGTGTGGCCTGGCAACCTATTGGATTCGCCGGGGCAGCTTCGAGAGGGCAAGGGATGTTTTCGAGGAGGGCATCACAACAGTTATGACGGTTCGGGACTTTACGCTAATTTTCGATTCGTACACAGAGTTTGAGGAATCTGTTATTGGGGCGCTCATGGAAATGGCCTCGGGACGGGCTGAGAAGGGCGTGGTAGATGAGGTGGCTGATTTCGATCTGGATATCAGGATGATGCGGTTCGAACACCTCATGGATCGACGGCCATTCTTGTTGAATGATGTGTTGCTACGACAGAACCCGAACAATGTCACCGAGTGGGAGAAGAGGGTCGCTTTGTGGGGCGATAACAAGCAGGAGGCTGTACAGACTTATACGGATGCCATTGCGGCTATACAGCCAAAGAAGGCAGTCGGCGCATTTCATCAGCTATGGGCCAACTACGCCAAATTCTACGAAAACGGAGGGGATATTCGAAGTGCGCGGACTATCATGGAGAAGGCAGTCAAGGTACCTTTCAAGTCGGTAGCAGAGCTGGCCGACATGTGGATCGAATGGGCAGAGATGGAACTTCGCGATGAGAACTTTGACGAAGCCGTCCGGATCATGGCCAAGGCTGTGCAAGCTCCAAAGAGGTCCAACGTGGACTACTTTGACGAAACGCTATCCCCGCAACAGCGAGTACACAAGAGCTGGAAACTCTGGTCTTTCTATGTCGACCTCGTCGAGAGCGTGAGCACCCTAGAGGAAACCAAGAAGATTTACGAAAGAATATTCGAACTTCGCATCGCCACCCCACAGACGGTGGTCAACTACGCCAACCTTCTCGAAGAGCACAAGTACTTTGAAGAGTCCTTCAAAATTTACGAGCGAGGCCTCGATCTTTTTTCCTATCCAGTAGCGTTTGAGCTGTGGAACCTCTACCTGACCAAAGCCGTCGACCGGAAAATCAGCATCGAGCGCCTGAGGGATCTGTTTGAGCAAGCGGTCGAGGACTGCCCCGCCAAGTTTGCAAAGGTGATCTACCTCATGTACGGCAACCTGGAAGAGGAACGGGGTTTAGCCCGGCACGCGATGCGGATTTATGAGCGGGCAACGAGAGCAGTGTCTGACGAGGACAGGGCGGACATGTTCAACTTTTACATCACCAAGTCCGCCTCTAACTTCGGTCTCCCTTCCACCCGCCCTATTTATGAAAGGGCGATTGCTACCCTGCCAGACAGTGAAGCAAAGGACATGTGCCTCAAGTTTGCGGACATGGAGAAGCGTCTCGGGGAGATTGACCGCGCCAGAGCGATTTATGGCCACGGGTCGCAGTTCTGCGATCCCAGGACGAATCCTGGCTTTTGGCAAAAGTGGGAGCAGTTTGAAGTGCAGCATGGGAACGAGGATACGTTCAAGGAGATGCTAAGGATCAAGCGGTCGGTGCAGGCGCAGTATAATACTGATGTCAACTTTATTGCCTCGCAGGCGTTGGCGAGGGCTCAGCAGCAGGCCAAGAATGGTGGAGACGATGGTGAAGTTGATCAAGAGGTGGTGGACGCGATGGAGCAGCTGGAACGACAGGCGAGGGCTCCGGTGGGTTTTGTGGCGGCTAGTGAGGGGATCAAGGGGAGTGTGACAGGTGCTACTACAACGACAAAGGTGATCGAGGTGGCTAATCCGGATGCTATTGAGCTTGATGATATGGAATGATAAATTCTTCTTTTTTCTTTCACTTTTTGTATGTTTTTTAGATTGCATTGGGTGTGCCGCACATCAAAGCTGGGCGTTTCTTTTCCTTCCTTGTGTCGCTACTCTCAATTCTCTATCAAGTTTTTTTTGTCGTGTCTTGAGGGGGGGAAAACAAGCCAAAGTTACAAGCAAACCGGGTTTTCACCATTTCCCTTTGTCTCTTTTCTTATTACCTTGTGTTATTTATCTTGTCCTCTTCTTTTCCCGACAGGATCTGGATGGAAGCGGAGAAGGAACTCTGGGAACAAAAAACAAGTTTGCATATTTGTATTCACAGCAACACAGCAGCACAGCATCATTTCTCTCTTCCAACAAGAATATTAAAGGGCTTAGGTATTTCATTCTTGCATTCGATAACCTAGTATCACCAAGACATGGTTTAAACTCCCCCCCTCCCCCCGATTCCCAACCGCCCCTATCAAACAACATCCCCATCATCATCTGCTCTCCTCTCGGGCATCTTCCCGTGCCTAACCGCCTCCCTATCCACCATCCCAATACCAGCCATCTCCCACTGCTCCTCTTCTTCGTCTCTCACCAACCCCGTCCCAGGTCTTGCCATTTCATCGCTATCCTGACTGGCCCCATGCCCAATAACCGCACTCCCAAGCCAAGAAGCAGTACCGAAAAACGCCCCTTTTACCGTGTCAAAGCCAAGAGAAGGCAGCTCCTACTGCTTCTTATTGTTATTCGAAGAAGTTTGGTTGTAATTGGGCGTGCCGAAGCCAGTGTAGCCCTTTTCAGCGTGGAGCTGGTGGAACTTTTGGGCGTAGTTGCTGTCGACGTGGCCGTCGCGCGAGTTGGGGACAGCGTAAATGGAGCCCTTGCGCTTTTGGAAGCGGGAGGGGGGTACTTTAGAGGCGTCTATGGGGGGAGGGGGTCAGTAAAGAGGAGATTGGATGGGAAGGATGGACGGGGATGGCTTCGAAAATGGAAGGAAAAAAGAGGGGGAAGGTGGAAGAGGAGGGTAAACAAGGGGAGGGGGAAAAGACACTTACCCCACTCGTCGCTGTCACGGCGGTCACGTCCTGGGGAGGTTGGGGATGGGGATATGGGGAGTTCGGCTGAGGCTGTGGTGGGGGAGGTGTTGGATATGGTGGAGGGATTGCGTGAGTCTGTAGATGGTTAGTATAGCTGGTTGGATAGGGGAAGGTGGGGAGCATCAAGAGGTGATGGGACGTACCAGCCATTGTCGCCGGTGGTCTAGCTTTGAAGTAAGTAAAAGTAGGTGTGGCGTCGTTGTAGGATAAGTTGTTGTAGGTGGTTGACCAATCTTGCTCGGATAATTGCTGTTGATAATTGCAATGATAACACTTAAAAGGATGATGTAGACTAGTAAAGACGATGAGAGGTCTAGAACTTGGAGGTCCGGGAGATGAAGGTCATATGGGGAGCGGGATGGGATAGGGTTATTATATCTTCAAAAGCAAAGCACGACACAAGCTGGCCCCTGCTATCTCTGTTGCTATCCAAAACGGGAAGGGAGGAGACAAATGATGGAGTAATGAGTTACTTTGCCCCCGTGTGAGGTGTGGTGGGAGAGCTTTCCGTTTACCACCCCTCATCTTTGTCATTTGTTCTCCCACACTCGCTTTTCCACCTACCCTAACGGGGACCTCTTCATCTCATCTTTGTTTTGCCCGAACCGTCGATCATCCCACAAGGTTTGGGTTCGGCATCACACGACCAGAATTCTTTCTTCACTAAACAGAAGGGCAACCTCTCTCAATGGTTGGCTGCAAGCCGCTGTGTAAGTGTCAAAGGAAGGGCTTTTTTTTTGAGGGGGGGGAGGCTGTGCAAAAAACGCCATGCACGCCGTCAGCCTGTTCAGTGACTTCGATAGCGACTAGCAAGTGATCGTCAATCAGCTAAATTATTGCAGTTCATTGAAGAGGCAAGCTCTGGTGTTGATTGATCAGATGAGAACCTGACGTCATGGTTAGTTGATTCGGTCTGGATGCTTTTCTCTGTGGGATTATGCGTTCTGCATGCTGCACGGCACTCGCTTTCGTTTCATTGATTGACTGCATCTCCCCATCACAGGTCTTACATTTCGTAGACTAAAAGATGTCGATTTCTCCTACCGTTCACACACGAGGGCTTGCACAAGATGCGGGTTACCTAGATTGGCATCGGGTTTGCTAACTCAACCCCAAGCGCCATCTGGTTTCTCACAACTGCATGATTTGTTTTGATGGCTTGGTTTGGGAGGCCTCCGTCTCTATAGCTTGGTGTAGTTTTTAACTTAGTAGCTGTTGTTCAACACTCCATGATGCAGGTTAAGGTGAGGTAGAGAGCTCCTGCTGCTGATGATCTGTTGACCACATTCTCTGGTCGGCGGGGTTACAGCAACGCCGTGGGATTCTTGGTAGATGCAACAATGGCTGGGCGATAATGGGAAGGAAGTCTTGACACACCATCGGACAAATCAGGGTCAATCGTCGTGTAATATGACCGTGCATTCCTTTTTTTGCCTGGTGTTAGTCTGATATGTCCGTTGAGCATGTCATCGTCGGGCACTGTTATGGAAAGGAAGCCCGAACGGTCTGGGCCGGGCGTTTGCGCGAAGAGATCTACCAAACCGAAAAGAACAAATATCGCGCATGTTGTAGTAGGGATGGTGGTGTCGGTGAATGGATGGACGGGAGTGAGGTGGTAGGTAGCGTCCTTCGCAGACATAACAGGAAGAAAAAAGTTGTAAGTGGACGAATTCCATTGGGTCAGAGAAATAGACCACCGCACAACAAGCGCACCGGGTTGATTACCCGCCGTCTCATTGGGGAAAGGATGTAGGACCTCGGGAATGCCGTCTTTTTCCTATGAAGTCGGATCATGGAGGAGTGACATTGAGAAAGGGGATGGTAAAACCTAGATGCACTGTGAAACTCTCGGGATGCGCTGGGTTGCAAGCCATGCCGATTTCGCGATTCCATCTAGAAATTTTGGCTGGAGCAACCTCAGAGAGTCACATGCTACATGAATGAAACTGATAATCTGAGCAGTTGCTCAAAGATTCTGCCAAAAAGAAGAAAAAACAGGAGCAGCACGAGGAAATCATAGCCATCGAGAAGAAGACTTAAGGAGAAGTTAGAAGCAAAAGTGGAAGGTCGTGCCCGGGTTCGAACCGGGGTTACTGGAAGGAATGTGACTTGAACAAGTCAAAATCCAGAGTGATAACCACTACACTACACAACCCTTGATTTGTTATTGGGGACAAAGACGGTATTTGGGGGTTATGTCGCTAATGCAGCCTTGGCATGCCCTTTCTTCCCCCTCCATCGTCAGCTCGCCCAGGGTTAGGGTACAACTCACTGGGCCCCTTCACGAAGAGAGTCTCAGACGTGACACTAAATAATACCGGGAACCGCAAAGTCAGGCAGGTTGAATATCAAAGGTCTCAATTGCTTGCTTCTATCTAGCCTGTCTACCGATAAAACCACAACATCAGAGCCGTCAATTTTTGGTAGCCCCATATATCGTTATGTCGACTTCTTGTGCAGGATACCAGCACCAGCCTATTGACCAGAACATATTAGTGAGATTTGGAGAGTTGGTGTTGTGATTGGAACATACTTGGTGGCTGGGGAAGATTAGAGTATCGGCGATAACCACGTTCTCTCGTCTGCCAGCAACGAACACAACCGCCTCAGCAATATCAGCTGGTGTCAATGGCTCGCAGCCCCTATACAACATCGTCAGTCATCAAACACTTCGCAGACAGAGCTAGAAGCACCTACGCATAGACAGCATCAGCCTTGGCCTTGTCGCCGTAGAATCTGACGACAGAGAACTCGGTCTCGACCTGGCCGGGATCAATCTCCATGACTCTGATGCGCGTCGCAATAAGCTCCTTGCGCAGAGCATCTGTGAAGCTGCGAACAGCCGCCTTGGTTGCGCAGTAGATGCTGCCACCAGGGTATGGCTCACGGCCGGCGATACTGCCAACATTGATGATGTCGCCAGCACCACCCTCAGGCCGCTTCTTGAAGATGGGCAAGATGGCCTGTGTCATGTTGATCAACCCAGTGACGTTGGTGTTGAACATGATGTTGATGTCTTCCTCCACAATCTCGGGCGCCCGAGCAAGACCCTTGACGAGGCCCCTATCATCTTGTCAGTTCAGGCCGTAATGACCAAGACAAGGTGAAAACATACGCATTGTTCACCAAAACGTTGATATCCCTGAACTCCTCAGGAAGATTCCCAACAAAAGCCTTGACTTCCTCAGGCTTGCTAACATCAAGCTGGACAGGCAGCACCTTGACCCCCTCACCAACCTCAGCAACGATGTCAGCCGCGATCTGCTTCAGAGAGTCGATTCTCCTCGCAGTAAGAACGAGCTTGAGGTTCTTGGGAGCCGTGCGGGCAAACTCAAAAGCGGTGCTCTTTCCGATGCCGGAACTGGCACCGGTGATGACAATTGTCTTGCCCTCAAGGCGCTTAGCGACTATTGATGACATTGTTCTTGTTATTGCTGGCGGGTTGAAGAGCGGGGCAAGAAACCGAGAAGAATGACCTTTTGACGTTGAAACTTGAAGAAATTGTGAAAATGATTTATACCTCAGTCTCGCAGCGGCAAGCAACAACATGTTCTTGAGGGTTTTGTAGATATAATTGCCCCGTCACCGGAGGGAAACAAACACGGGGGCCAGGGAGGGTGCTTGCTTACGCCATAGCTGCAGCTATCCACTCTGCCGGGCCGGCCCCGCATTCATAATGCCGGCGATAAGGGGAGCTACTCCCGGTACCCCCGCCCCCGCGGCTCACCCCGCAATTGACATTGTCCTTGAAACGGAAAAGCAGTCGCGCCATACACCCTATTATTGACTAACGAGATATGAGTATTTTGCATCTTGATTGGGGTAACTTATTCTTAAACATCTGGTAGATAATGCTAATGAGTTTTGCCACAGCCAGTAGTCGTCGAACCCCTAACGTTACCTCTTTACGAGAATGCCTTGTGTAACCTGTGTTTTAAACCCCATTTTCGTTGATGATAATCACATACGATCATACCTAGCTGAAAATACGGCATCCCGTCCGCTCTGCCCGAGTCAAACAGCTAAGGGACTGAATCAGTACTCAGGCGGGTGACCACTGGGGAATCTTCGGTGTTGTATGTTGTTTTGGTAACTTTGCCCTCTTTTTCCTTTAGGATTGAGTTTATGGCTTTTTAAACAAGAATTAGAGAGGAATATTATGACCTGTTTGGAATATGCGGAAGGATTAATCCTTCAGCTGTTTGTCGTATTGCCATTGGCTCACTGGTAGGTCGACTCACCAACAACCTGCTCCACATATTCGACACAAGGACGAGGAATTTTGTTGGTTCCGGTTGAGGATTAGCCGGACACGTACCGGAGAGTAGGAACGATGGGGTGTAAGGGTTATACGAAGGGAGACATGTCTTTTGAGAAGAAGCCTTACTGGTTTGATGAAGGTCAAAGTGTGTGGTAGGAGATTGCCGTAATCTGATGGACGTAAGACGAGAGAAATAAAAGTTTATTTCTGAAGCTCTGGGATGGATTTGAAAGAGTACCTAGGTACGGTAGGTAGGCAGCCTAGTTGTGACAACGCCCCTAACATCTTGCCTGTCTCCATACCTTGCCTAGATAAAAACAACCTCAAACCTGGATGAAGCGGAGAAAAGCCATGCCACAAGCTCCTCAAACTGTGCTACCTCACATGAAGAGAAATTCCCTCATAGCTATCTCGTATTGGGGCTTGCATGATAGAGCCACAAGCCCCGGCCGTACATCGCTTATGTCGTTAGATAGGTCTCTATGTTGCTGTCTTTAGCCACGAAAAAGCAGTTGAAGACCCTTCTCGCCCTCCTCCCCCTGGTTGCCACTGCTCTCAACTACGTTGTCCCCGAGGACACTCCGGACGGCTTCTACGCTGTTACCTCTGACGAGAGTGGCAACTCAACCACCCAACACATTGATCCGTCGACTCTTACCGCCATTGGCGAGTCGCTCGAGAAACGCAGTCCGATCAAGCCTAGCCCTAGATACCGCAGACAGTCACCGGTTTCGTGGGGCGGAACAGGGAGGACCTTCCCCGTCTAGAACAACTATAACGCGTGCACTAACGGATAGCGCAACTTCTTCAGCAACGGGAACTTTGTCCTTGCCCACTATCTATTACGCCACGATGGGCTAGGCCGTGCTCGCTGGATGCAATTACCAATGTACGTATCAATGATCATGTCCAACCAAAGGGCCCGAGGCCATCGTGACTTGCGAGGGGTGGATAAAACTAACAGAAATTATTATTATTATTCCTACTCCGTTCTACCCTAATGGAAAGAGTGTGCCGGTCCTGCTGTTGCTACTAACAGAAATTTGGTTCTGTAGCTACCGTTTTCGTCAGATCAAAAACTTTGGTAAATAATTACAATGGCTTTATGAACGGAAACGTGGGCTGGTGAAGGACGGAATGGGCGCATTATAGTCCTGGCTGAGATTTTACCTTCTGGCGTGACCTCACGGGGACTGCCTTTTGCACCAATCTCTGAGACTGTGTAGTAGAATCAGCTTCATTTTCATAGCAACCGAGGAAGGTTTTTACCGGCGTGGCTAACTGGCTTGGGAGAGGCGCTGCTCTTTATCATGCGGGGCCTCGCATCTCAACTAGTATTTATAGTAGAATAAAACCTTGCATTGCTAGCTCGGTGCTACCCCTGAATTCTCACAGGTCTACCTCTAGGAATTTCTATGTATGTAAAGGTCGAGTTCGAGTCTTTACACATAGATTGTTTGATGACTCAACACAAAACGTGACCTAACAGCCTCCGATTTGGAGGGCTTAAAATTGCAGCTAAGATCTATGTCTATTTGCTGGTTCGGATTCGGCTTGGACAAGAACTATGTATGTAAGCATGTTAATAACGGCAAGCAGAGCCTCAATATATCAAAGAGAGTGACAAGGGCAGGAGAACCGATCTAAAACATTTGATGACAAGCATTCTTCATCTCTGAAGTTGGACTATTTGGAAATTCCAAAGAAAACCAAAAGCCTAAGTAACTCCTGAACTCTCGACTGACATGAAGATCTCGCCCCATCCTTCCATGTACTATTCACATCTGATCGCCCTTAATGATCTGCTAACATGGCGGTCAAGTCCCCTGGTTCTTCTTGTTGTCAATCGTAACCTTTCTTATTGTGCTGTCAATGACAGATCCCCGGTCGCGTTAGTAAGGGGCGCAATGTCAGAGCTAGATGTCTGCTCATCGACGGGGGGGGATTCTGGATTCTCCTCGTCTGTCGAATCATCAAAGGCCACGCGCCTGACCACCGGTTCGCGGGGATAGTGTCACATGTTAGCCACCGGCAGCCTGGACCACAACCAACAACACAGTGAACTAAAAGCTCTGAGCCAGTTGTTGAAAAGTGAAACAAGCGACGGGTTACTGGCGGCAGCAACAGAGGCATTATTGACTCGTGTATAATCAGAGGAAGCACTGGAGTTGGCAGATGCCTAAGCTCGTCACAAGCACGGGCCACTTTGAGAAAGATAAATACGCGAGCAGAGCAGTGGGACGAAAGGATTCCTCATCAAGGATCTTGAGGCCACTGAATATTATTAAAATGAATTGAAACTATGTTGTTCCAAGCCCTGAACTCCAGCCCTTGTCACAAATAGTTTCGATAATATCCTCGCACTGTAGTACTCAGTCAGCAATTATCCTGATAGGGAGCTATTAGGTATCCAAGAAAATAACTTACAAGCCTTCCCGTTTCTTCCAGGCGTCTCACTGATGATTGCACAAACTGGCACCTCACGCAAAGAAATGAATTGTCTGTTGTTCGTGTGGCTTGGCTCCTTCGGGAATTTCCACACCTAGATTGGAGTCAACAAGCGTGCGAAGTCTCCAGACGTAAATTGTGGCAAGGGCTGATGATCAGAGCTTGGAACAGTGGTTCGATTCAGCCAATAATCTTCAGTGGCTTCAAAGTCCTTAATGAAGAATGAAGAAAGTCTAGGAATACAATCTGATATTTCCGAACGCATATTTATACATCTATAAGTAGCCCATGCCCTGGTGGCCTCAGGCTATTGCCAATGTGCCCAGTATCCTCCAAGCCCAATAGGATCTCTTCCTCATCTGCCACGTCTGTAATTGTTCGCCCTGCTTCTCGCGACTTGCAATTGAGGGTGCCGTTGGCCATGATAGGACCTGTTGGTGGTTGGT